TTCTGATGAAATCCGAATCGATGCCGATTTGTAGTTTTGACCTCCAGATCCACCCAGCATGTACAAACAAATACTTCCAAAGAGTTTAAACGGTGATCTCTTCAGTACCAACTTTGTGGTCAGGGAGCATCGTGGTCTCGAGGCATGGTGTTCTGAGCTCAATCCCCGGTAAGGGCTGTAATTTTTTCACGTGGACTTGGACTTCTAGTAATTTCACCTGGTCTGTGGTAGTGAGATCGGACGCCCGTGTGCATTGTTGCGCACGTAACAAATCCCCTGACAGTAGGAAATCTAAAACAGTAGCCTAACTGCGCTGCCCGGGCAAAATTTGGTGTTAAAAATCTACCCAAAGTATTTCAGGATTCACGACAGTGCTACAGAGCCTGTGCACTGTGCTTAGCTTTTTCGGACTCAGACTTGAGTTAGAAGAAGAACGGAGCACTTATGGGTGTGCCATGATGTTGAAACGTTGTCTAAACTTTACCAACAGATTATTAATACCGCTGCGGTTGCATTAGAGGACTCATTTTTTCCTTATTTTAAAACATCACTCTGGCTGTTGTCGGGGCCCCTAATATTACCTAACAGTTGAACAGCGTTTCTAGGACTTGCGACTGGGTGATTCTCATCCGAATGGTGGCACTTTGTGTCACCGGATGTTATCGCTCGTTGTGCGGTCCTAATAGGATTTAAATTCATTCATTAAGTACAAGAAAAATATTTCGTAGAAGATGACAAAGAAATATCCGTGACTGAAATGTGAAAGTGAATATTCTTCACAGTTGTAATAAATCAGCAGTAATGACAATTGGACAAGCCGTTTTTCTTGAGTGTATTCTGATCAAATATAAAAGTCTAAAAGAGGAGATTGGACAGATAAGGAGATTCTCACCTTGATTAGGACTCAAAGAGTTAAAGGGGTCTCTTAGTCCTCTTTCAAATTTTTAGAAGTGGTTGGGGGGCGGGGAGGCGGGAAGGGAGCCTCCATGTTTCAGTGACTATAATTACATCTTAGTCACGCGGCCTCTGTATGTGTGCCGATTAGTATGCAAAGATCTGAACCATATGTTTGAAGCATCTTGTATTACAATTATGAGTTATGTATGCTGGTAACACCTTTTCGTCTTTCCAGACGATAGTGTTAAGACCGGGTCGCCCATCGGCTTGCCGGTAGACGACTTCGCCAACGTTCGGAACAGTGTGTGGGTCAGTCTCCTTTGATCGCAGGAGTCATTTTCTGGGCCCTTTGTGGCGAGCAACACCAAGTCATTTATATGGCACACATAATCTAGTCACAATTATAACCTAAAGCTCCGCCTTTGAGGATGCTAGTTGAACGAGACGTTTCTTTTTCCAGCAAAGCATGAAACGATAGTCTTTATGAGCTATTAGTTGACAATCGACATTACAGAGCTCAGGAATTTTCTTAAGCACTTCGTTCCCTTATCCACCAGTAACAATTTAAATGTATGTTCTTCTTACCCCTCCTCTGAGTGCAGAACATCGGCCAGATCTTTCGGCCAATTTTCGCTGCACCGTTCTCTTTAGACCGTGATGATCAGTTCGTGCCTCCGCAGTTTACTCGCTCCCAGAAAGCCCTTACAATTTCTAGCTAGTCATTGTGAAGAACCAGCCAATATATCAGACTGATCGTTTCCTAGCACACCATTAAATGAAACAATCAAAAACTGTGAATGCCATATATACTTTATTGTGTGTGAATTATAGCTGACATCTCTCCTTCTTAGTAGTGCAGTTTGTCCCCTCCAGCTTGCATCAGTAAGACTAACATCTTAAGAATGTGAATCCTGCATGTACAAAACACCATAAGTCCCATTTAACTGTGAGGTTGGGATTGTCTTTGGGGACACTCGTGAAAGGGTCGCTACCCATAGGCTGAGAAGCGCTGTTCTAGACGGTATTTTTTATATTGTGCTTTAGTGAGGAATGAAAATCAGCGCATGGCAAAAGCGACTGGGACTAGCAAGACCTGCTAGTATTAAAAATGTCTTCCACTAGTGGGGGCCGCGTTAGAGCTGTTGTTAGAAGACTCGCTTTCAAATCCAGCTGCGACTCGCTGCAGCCCACGGCCGGTGTTCGAAGTTGGCCTGTTCCCGGGGTTCACCCAGACTCTAGGAAATAGGTACCAGAGTTAACACTTTGGGGTAAATGGAGGAACGTCGCTATAGCTACGGAGTTACGTGCGTACGGCGACACAGGCAGATAGTTTCTTATCAGCTGCTTGTACTGGTGACAGAGCACTTTGGGTTTATAACCGTATGCAATGACGCTGGTTCACACATCTCCCGATTTTCCCTTTTTTTTTCTACAGTTAGTGCCTGGGATTTCAGGACATGTTTTTCCATCGCTCTTAAACTTGTATTTTTCTCCTTTCAAAACAATGTTTTCCAAAACAAAACAGTGGGTTGCCATAGTTGGATGTACCTCATCAGGCGCGGTACTGAAGAATTTAATAAACATATAATTAAGTACGAATAAAGGAAGAAACTAAGTCACTCCTGATCCCCGTGTGAGTTCCGGGGGGGGGGGGGGATAAAAAAAGACCTACTGCCATCCCAACAAGCGTGTTGCAAAAGTCGACAAATTGGAATGCTTTTTTCGAAGTCGAAGTGCATCTGGCTGCGAGACAAGGAATCAACATTCTGCATATAAATAAGTCAGGTCTGTAAAACAGATGTGCACGCATTATTCTGATTCTGGGACATGCTAAAGTCCAGATCTGGATGAACAACCAGAATTTTCCGCTGCAGCTACAGCCGATGGACACTAAAGAAGAAGAATAAAAAGACGAGGAAGAATAGTTAATAATTTGTGAGGCAACTACAAAAATACTTGATCCACATGGCTCACAGAACCCTCAAAGGCATGGGCTCCCCATATTACATAAGGCCGAAATATCTCTGAGCCTGATCGCATCCATGATACGAGGGACGATGTTGGTTGGTCCAAAGAAGTCGATCTTGGTAGTAACAAGGCGTCAAGACAGGTCTTCGGTGTGGTCGTCGTTCCCAGCGTCCAATGTCATTGTGTCTGTTCTGAACAGTTTGATCAGACACACGACGTCCTGGTGGCAATGCCTGCGCGGTTGAGGAAGCAGTTGCAACCTGTCTCTGAGCTTATGAAGCCGAATAAAATTATTTTTCGCTGCTGTTGTCACTCTCAATGATTGACTGCGATGTCAGTCTTTAACTTAACCAGTGGCTTGGTACCGGTGCCAAAGTCGACTGATGGTATTCTAATGCACGTTTAGATGCCTTACAACCTGACTTTGACTTTCTCCTGTCTGCAATCGGCCAGTAGCAACATTCCTTAAATTTATCGACAGAGCCGCCATTCGTGACTGCTTGAAAATGAACTGAATGTTTTGGTGTAGCGCTATCCTTCTATAGGATTTCAATTGCGTAGGCAATGAATAGTGTTCAGGACAAATTGTGTTGCAATGTCGTGCGCGCATCATGAGCTATGCTCGCAAATACGGTCTTAAACACAACTGGCCACTGCATTGTAACGATTACAAAAAAAAAAAAAAAAACCACGCATTCACGCCCACATATCCACTGGACACGGTAAACAACATTTGAGTCTGCTTAACAGTTAAAAAAAAAGTCTTTTGAACATTATATAAGATTTTTTGTTCGCATAGTTATATCATATAGTTCTTTATGTAATGAATCGATTTCTTTCGATTTTTAACTGGTGTAGTATATTTAGATAAAAATATACTTTCCACAATTGCCTATAATTTTCATGTACGTAAATCCAGAAGTTGTTTCAGATGAATTGTACAATGCTCTTGTTAGGTTCAGATTATATAATTTTCAGCACGGTGTCAAAAAATGAAACTATCCATGTAGACATTGAAGAAATCAATATAGTTCCTTCAGCTGGAGCTTTTATACCGTAAACTGTATGTGGCTAACAGAGAAGCAATTTGGCCTGTTCCAACCTCAGACAAGGGAAAGCTGTATCTTTCACATAGATATTTGGACTGCTATATAGCTTTCATCAATGCTACTGGTCTGTTGTTAACTTCTTGTTCTCCTTTGCGTTCTCCTTGTCAGTGTTTTTAAGATGAGAAGGTAGCATGATTATATTATTATGGTGTGGCTAATGCACTACCCAGATATCCCAGTTGTATGTAGAAAGTATATCTGCTGCACAGGCCCAGTTTTCAAAGGTATCTGTCCCCATGGGCAAACTTCCACTATACATGGCTGCAGAGTCTGTTGTACCTATCTAATAAACTAAAACTGGACTGCTTCTTTCGTTTGATGAGGTTGACGGTGTCTCCTGGATTGTGTTCAAGACGGGAAGAATTCGCATGAGTTTTAAGGGCTCCCTGATCTAGTTTTATTTCTCTCATAAGTGCGTCCTACATCTGGTTGTTGTTTCTGACGTAATTGCTCTAACAGAAGGATGTAGGTTCGGTGAAGATGATGTAGGTTCGGTGAAGATGATGTAGGTTCGGTGAAGATGATGTATGTATGTATGTTTAGCAGCAGTACGGGCGCGTAGGGCATTGCTGTGTGGCGTACTCGACGGGATAATTACAGTGGCATGGAAAAAATACGGCGATGGAGTGTACTGTTTCTGGCAAACGAGTCACAGGCCGACCACCTCATGGATATAAGACATGTAGGCCTGGTGAAGAGGATACTGAAGAAAAACTGTCAAGCGTGGGGTGATGCAAAGAACGCCCGTAAAGTACCTGCTGACTAATGCTGATCCTTAAAGGATTGAAGAAGAATAGGGAGTCTTCAATACCATCCCTTCGATGCCATCTCAATACAACCTCTAGTCAGGCAACATGGAAGTGTTAAACATCAAATTCCTCATTGACGATTAGAAGATATACTTTTTCCAAAATGTATAATTTTTTCATCGACGCCTAAAAATGAAAATAGTATTCCCGAAACAACATCGTATCTACTGCCTCCACTGTCACCGCAATAAAATCATCCAATGATCAAGCAATAACCTTACAACGCAAAAACATTCGGATTATCAGGAAGCGGGAATTTATCAAAGCAGTCCGGCTGGCACATACACGAATCTGGACACAAACCTTGGGAACATTTGAGAACCGCCAAACAAGATGGGAACTCAAGTTTGCATTGACAAACAGAACATCCTTTAGAGTCGAGCACATATCCTGACGGACATTGGGTGTCGCATATCTTGTGATGGCCTATATCTTTACACTGGCAGGTGTTGCATCCCAGCATGTCCTGAACGTAGCCTTGGACACATAGACGTGTGCAAGGTCGTGGCCCACACCAGGGAGTCCCGCAGGCGTAGTCGCAGCCAGTAGGGCATCCACTTGCGTCTTTGACGATGTAGGTTCGACATCCGTACGGAGGAGCAGGGCATTGCTGTATGGAGCATTTCACTGGGTAATCTAAAGCTGTGGACAATTCATGCTTATAATTATAACAGTTCAACAGTGTGTACTTTATAACACATGTCGTATTGCCCCGTAAATACCACTGGTTATTATATTCCTTTTTGGTCACAAAGACGTACTGCGGCCTGTTTTTTAGGGAATGTTTTTTTTTTTCCTTCTTCAAGTTCATTAATCTATATTTATTAATGTACAAACACCCACATTGATTTCATTACAAAACTGCAGTTTTCTTAAGAAATGCTTGCAACGAAAACAATTTATGGCGCCAAATGTCACCAAAATTTTGTGATTGGTATATATATATATATATATATATATATATATATATATATATATATATATATATATATATATATATATATATATATATACCTAATATAAATAATATATGTACCTAACTCTTCGCTGCAGCCATTTTATATGACGCATATAACTCAGTCAAAATTGTTACGAAAAGTTCTCACTTCAGGTATTATGGCTGAAAGTGATGCCTTTTTATTTTTATTTTTGCACGCAAAACAAGCCAAAAAGCCAATGAGTGAATGTTGCTTGAAATTACTGGCCTTCTTAAGATCTGCAGTGACACAGTGGTAAGTCAGTTACTTGTTGAGACAGTATTCTCAGCCAGTGTTCTTCAACCGGTAGCACGCCGAAAACTAATGGTTTATTCTTTGTGGTGCGCCAGAAAGCTATACCGAATAATGTAGCGGCTAGATGCTTCCGAGACGAAATTTCTGTATATATCTGGTGTACCCACTTAGAGAGAATCTCTTCCGGCGCCTTACCATGCAAGGCATACCTAATTAGGTGAGAGACGGAGAATATGAGGTAAAGAAAATTAACAAGATGGAAAGAAATTATGAGAGAAACTCACTAACAGTGCGATGTATCTATGCTCGAGGTGTTCAGTGGAGCAAACAGCATAGCTTTTCACACCCAGGCCCTACCTCCACAATCCGAAAGTGGATAAAAAGATTGTTAGGAAAAAAAGGAGGAGGAGGAGGAGGAGGAGGAGAAGAAGAAGAAGAAGAAGAAGAAGAAGAAGAAAAAGAAGAAGAAGAAGAAGAAGAAGAAGAAGAAGAAGAGACAAAGAGGTGGAGGGGGAGGAGAAGAAAAAGAAGAAAAAAAAAAAGAAAAAGAAAAAGAAGAAGAAGAAGAAGAAGAAGAAGAAGAAGAAGAAGAAGAAGAAGAAGAAGAAGAAGAAGAAGAAGAAGAAGAAGAAGAAGAAGAAGAAGAAGAAGAAGAAGAAGAAGAAGAAGAAGAAGAAGAATTAGAAGAAGAAGAAGAAGAAGAAGAAAAAGAAGAAATAGAAGAAGAAGAAGAAGAAGAAGAAGAAGAAGAAGAAGAAGAAGAAGAAGAAGAAGAAGAAGAAGAAGAAGAAGAAGAAGAAGAAGAAGAGAAGAAGAAGAAGAAGAAGAAGAAGAAGAAGAAGAAGAAGAAGAAGAAGAAGAAGAGAAGAAGAAGAAGAAAAGACAATAGTATAAGTAGAGCAAAGTACAATATAGAACTATGCAATACGAACGAAGTAATAGAATGCCAGACAATTTCACAGCCTAATTAATAACCAGTATAAATAGATAGCAAATGCCAATAACTCACCATTGAATACAACTCCTCCAAAACAAGAGGAGAAAACACTAATCAACAATATTATTTCTCTTAACATGTTAAAGTATTGTAGCAAAGAAGGTTCATTTAGACTGATCGCCAAATTCTCTACCAAATCTGTCCATACAATAAGTGGTTATGCAAAACTTCAAAGGTGAAAGTTTAATTGTTGACACCCATCCCAAATGTTGAGTTGTTTTGCTGGTGTTAACACTGAATTAATTAAGATGACAGTGACAGATTAGTGGCGACAGAAAACATGAAGATCTTGTAGGAGTATAAAAAGGGTAATTATAGAAGGGTACGTACAGAATTTGTGACCTAGTCTCTTCTATGTTCTTGTCATCAAAAACAGCTTTTACCTGTATGGAACTAAAGGCTACACAGGGCTGGTGTAGCAGTTAGGATGGCCTAGTCATAAGTTGATTTGAGGTTGAACTGCCTATATAAAATCTGCCCGGTTGTCTGTCACCAAGAATGAGATTTATTTTCATCTCAGGGTGGTAAACTTTCATGTAGCAGCTAAGACGGGGACACATTTATAGTACGAATAACACTTTGCCGAAGCAAACACAGCTTCTTTTTTCTGTTCGGTCCTACTAGGAAATTTGACACTCAGTGGTTTGTCATTGTTTACTCAACGGTCGGTGCTGAATAACCCTCAACAATAAGGTAGAAATCAACACAAAACGATCTGCTAACAAATCGCCAGCAGAAAGAATGGAACAGGTTACTTCAAAATTACGTAATGCGTTGACAACGATCAAGCCGCAGACGATGAAGCATATATCTATATTCGCAGTGATTTTGTTCGTGAAAAAGGCAATTATGTGTGTGTCAGTACTTCCTCAACTGTCGCACTGGAAGTCTACTGTTGTTCTGCAGCACTTTTAAAAATACTTTCTGCATCATTAAATCTGTGAAGTTTTAGGGCATTGCAATTTACTACAATCCCAGGCATTTTAGTGGATTACAAGATTTTTAGGCTGTGACCATCTTACGAGTTTGCTGTTGTCGATAATCCTTTTAAGGTCTCTGTCGCTAACCTTTTTTATTTTGACACATACTTGCATAGTCATATCAAGTAAAACCGTTATACTGACACCTGTGGATGGTGCGAAGTCTTTTTGTATAATGACATAAAAAAAAATTCATGCTAAAGTTCCACCTGCAGAAGTATACTTCCAGTTTTGTTTTTCAAGCTATTCTTTCAGTTTTTTTTCCTATCTGTGATTCAAGATCCTAAAAATCTATAATATCTAAAGACAACCATTCATTTACTGTTTAAATCACGAATACTACTAATATGTACTGTACATATTTATCAGATACAACAATATCAAATGTAAGAAGATGTTTCACACATACTACACTGGTTTCCCCCCAGGTGTACAATTTTCCAGTTAACTAATTTTAGCCATCTTTTTCTTTATCATAATTCGATAAATCGAGGCACTGAACACATCGCTGGTATAGTTAATAACACTTAACACTTCATAATAGTCTATTTCGAAAATGTAAATGGAAAGCAATGTGACTGCACACGTAAATTCCCAGGTCCACTACTTACTTAACTTTTTTGTTGGCCCATGTTTTACAGCTGACAGGAAGAGCATCACACTCTGTCCTGTTTTACTGTTTCCCCTATCCTTTGTTCTGGGTGTGCGGGATAGGCTATCAGACTTATCACCACGCATCTCTGTACATGTGAAAGGAAATCCAAAACAATCTCAACGAAGTAGGTTTTAAGTAAGCGATTTGTGCCAGTTACTGTATATTCAATTTTTTTTTTGGGGGGGGGGGGGAGGAGTGGGGGGGGGGGGGGGAAGGTGCACACATAATTAGTATGACAAATTTCAAAGAAATTCTCTGTTTCAAGAAAGCAGTAGTACCTATAAGTAAGTAAAGTCAGTAAAGCACTTTTTCACTCCGTAAGGCACATTGGGTATATGGGAAGAGCGCCCATATTTTTAGACCATCGGCACTAGATGTATAATGTGGTCAGCATTAGGCCGGTCGTTTTTACTTCCCCAGGACATATCCATTCTAGCCTAGGTTGACCTGCGACGCCCTACACCATGATACAGATCTACGCAGCCAGCAGGGGATTTCGATGGCGGTACGTTGGAATTACGAGTCGGCACATAAACGCTGAAGCCAAGGACGCAGCAGTAGCACCTCTGCAATTGTAAATTATAAAATCATAAAGACATGTGAAACGTAAGCCCGCATGCAAAAATTGTTTCTGACCGTACAGGAATTAGTGAGATATTTGATACAGTTTGAGTTCACGACTTTTGGAACGGACTATAATTCCCCTTATACATAGCTTTTTTTTAGAAATGCAGGGCGTTACATTCTGTCTACAAAACTACAAATACAAATGTAAATTACAGGTTGAGCCGCCCACAAGACGGCCTATCCATCAACTTCTCGTGCCGAATGTCACAATTGTTTGCCATGCTGACCCAGTTCTCTTCATTCAGGCTGTTCCCGTGTTGCCATGTATTACGTAGATATGATAATGTCTGCAGCAGGGCTCTCACCCTCCTTATATATAAACCTTCGCTTCTAAAGCCCACCCTCTCTTTCCCCCCATGTTTAACTCTGTTGAATCTGATCTATTTTGCTTTTATGGCGAATTGGTGAAGCCTTTTGTCAACTGCTCGGAATCTCATGGATTCCATCTGCTTCGTCCGATTAACGAGTCCAGCTTTATGGAGAAACCTGAGGGTCGTCCCTGAAGCTCCCAGAATGCGTTGCGTTGTGTTAGCTGTTTGCCGAGGGTGACCAAGCTATATGTGGAAAAACCCGACGAAAATAAAGTCGATTATCTCAACTTTTACCTTACATTTCTTACACCTTAGAGCGGTCGGATGAGCAGTGAAAGACGCAGGCTTCATTTTTCCTAAATAAAAAGCACCATTCGCGGGAACCTGCATTTTATTTAGTGTTTCGCTATTGTTTTGCTGATGAAAGCTAATCGCCTCAGTATCGTTTGTTTGTTGTAATTGGTTCTCTAGGGCACACACAATTGATGTTTTCCAATATATTAGTTAGTAGTAGGAGCTGAAATGCAATAGAAAATCGTATTTCTTAAAGAAGAAAACCCATGAAGGGAATAAGAATACTATGGGGAAAATGCCGGTAGGAAGAGTTAGAGTAGAGCGTCTGAAAAAAAAGAAAAAAAAAGAAACCGGCACTAAATGTATGTGCTGGAAGAAAGACACCTGAAATCCCACGCTTTCATTGTAGAAGACTTTTAGTAACTTTGGGGTGTTTAGCTAGCCACAGTCGTCAACGCCATAGGCTGTGATTCAGCGCCTCAAAAAAGTGCCCAACAACAGTAGTAGTTCTTCCAGCTAAAAACAATAACAGGTATATTATGATCCCCCTTTAAAATGACAACTTTATTAATATTGCTTTATTTCCATCGACATATCTCATTGCATTGATGAAGAATTGATGATGATGATGATGATGATAATGATGTTGGCTGTGTTTGAAACCAGCCAGATTTTCTTCCGATGAGACAGAAATATAACTGAGTTATTTTCTTGATTTAGTTTTCGTGTTTTCTTTCCCTTTCATTTGTTAACAATTAAAATTACTACGGTTTCTTAAAATCAATCTTGTAGGATAGTAGGGCTTTCCCATTAGATTATTAAAATTAGTTCCATTATCTTGGTCAGGACATCTGATTAAATAATGCATTGCGGAAGATACTATTAGGTTGTTGCTGTAATGTGTATAAGTGAAGGACCCTTATCCAACCCTCCCAGTCGTATTCAAGTTACATAGGGCTACACATATATTTTATAGAACTTGGTGGATGATGTAGTCACCATCACATTGCCCGTCTTTACTTCCAGGAGTTCACCTCGTACCGTGTAACGCTGGGTGGACATGGGAGCCAAGGTTTTGGAAAAAAATAAAAGTCCAGCGCTGAAGGATCTGAAACCCCTGACCATCTGATCTGCATGCGAGCGTCTGGCCGGTAGACCACACCGGCCCCCCAATATCGGAGTAGAAGAGGCATTTACAAGCTGAATTTGACATCATGCGATGCACCTTGTCATATCTAGGAAGCGACAGCATTGTGTTATAAACTGGGTTGATAAAATGACTTTGTTCAAAACTTCGTTTATATTTTTACGTGTCATTTCCATTTCCTTCGTTGAACCGTGTAGTCACAGCTTGTGTTATCTTTAGTTGAAAAAAAAACAAAAACGTAACACCAAGAGCAATTTTCTTTACTTTGGCGCCAAGGGCATTCAGTCCCCCAGCTATATTTTATATAAAGCGATAGGCTCTCAACTGCTGATGTGGTCTGCGGGAACGGTATATAGTATTACCTTTATATAACACAAAAATCTACATTCTGTTTACTTTTTTTCTTCGCCATTGAATTCACGAGAGCAACAAACTCCAAGGGTTTCACACATTTTTTCCTTATAATCATGTTCCATCAGTTCTACATCCTCCACCCCCTTTTTTTTTTTCTCCCAGCCCACAGAATTTGTGACTTTAACAATTTCGGATGTCAACGAAAATCGATGAAGTTGATGCAGTTTCCGCCAGCCGTATTTTGCTAGTTGATTCTTCGGCCGAAGCGATCGAAAAAGAACCACACAGTGCCACGAGTGGCAGACATTACCAGTTTATCTATGGTGAGTCGAGAGAGGGAGATCAAACAAGATATGATTCTACAATTCTGCAGACATGCACTAGGTGGCAGGCGCGCCACAAAATGGGTCCTGAACCTACTGACCCATCCATACATTTTTAAAGGGAGACTGAGCGTGCTCCATGCCCCCTCCACCCCACACAAACTTTGCAATGGGCTAAGCGGCCCCCTTAGTCATCCATTGACATTTTCTTGTTATTTGTTTTTGAAAGTTAGTTTATTTTGTACAGGGTATTATATTAATTTGCTATTCAGTATATAATAATTAATACTAATAACAATAGTCGTTTTTAGTATTACACATTTGAACACGATTTAAGCCTCTTGAATCGCCAGCCCCGTGTAAAATTATAGGGGGCTAAGCTATCTCCTTCTTTTCCATTTTTAAGATTGTTTTCTCTTCCCCAAGATTGTTGCGTTGCGACGCCCCTGTATCAGGACATCGCACAAGGGAACACAATCCCGCTTGTCAAGTTCCCTCCATGGCTCTGGTGACAACGAAAATTAAGCAAACAGGCTTGGGAGAAAAATGGAGGGCGAGATCTCAAATAGTTATTAGATTTTTGGGAAGGCACTTATACATAGCGAAATTGGGTAATTTCTGATGTTGAAATATTCCCATTTTCGATCCTAGCTGATAACGCGATGCAGAACTGTTAGTTGGCAGAGGAAAAAAAACTTGGTGAAACAAGTATGGCGGAGCTCAGTGACCCACAGTAGAGAGACCAAGCAGACTTATTTAACTTAAATCTCCTATTACAACCACACATACCACTAAATGCTTTGCTTGAAATGCTGCGGTCTGTTTGCTTCATCGTCAGATCCTACAACACTGGTAGTCTGGTCTAGTAGTCTTAGTTTCAGCTTCATAGCAAAAGGGTCACCCCATCTTTGCTCCGCTCCTGTGCCAACGAAAAACACACAGAATGTTTATCACAGTATTAAAATTGCAGTTCATCATTGATGGTAGCAAGAAGTCGCCAAACAGATCAGCAGTTGCCCACGTGATAAATTTTAATCACATACGGGCACCACAACACTTGCACGACAGGCATCGCGCCATTTCTGAATCTACAATTTACACCACACGTTGGTCACAGTCGAAAAAACATTCCAAATGCAATCCGCTGCTCACAGGGTCACGCCATGCATTCAACTCAGAAGCTGGGCGACGAAACTATATCCAGTCTACAAATGAACAAAAATGCATCGGCCACAGTCCGGCAGAAGCAAAAAAATGTGCCTCTGTTTCGAACAGTGCCGCTGCCTAACGTCCATTTTGTTTAACCTCTACATGTCGTTGAGTCACCCAACAGATGTTGACGGACCAGCACCTTCTAAATTTGAAGCAGATGCGATGGAATTCCTGCCTACGCCTG